AGTTTATGAACTTGTCCGGTGACGAACTAAGATGGTCTTTTGGATGTGGCGAAGTTTGTTGATGTCCGTTTGCAAGTAATCTTGTGTTCGTGTGCAGCCGATTTTTGTTGGCTGTCGTTTGATCACGTAGAGTAGATCAATATTGCATGTGTAGTATGGATATAAGACGCCGGGTATGTGATAGGCGGATGCAGAGTGGCAAATACGAGGTTGGCCCGGTCAATGCCCGTGGACGCGTCCGCGGGCGTTTGAGAGACCGAATTTGCCTATCGCATTTGGGAGGTCAAATAGACTGGACATTTGAGGTCCGTTTAAGACGTTTGGCTGGATCGCATTTTCGTGACCAAACGCCTCGTCCGGCCAGTTTGAGGCACCCAGCTGGAGATGCTCTCAGGCCGAACGGCAGTTGCATGCTGCTATGCTACTCGTGTTCTACGAGGCGCGCGCAAGCTGTTGGCGTTTGCCAATTGCCGCCGGCGGCGTCGACGGCCTCGGCCGGAGGCAACCGTGCAGTGCCGCGGCCCAGAGCTGTCTCGAAGCCGCCGGCGGCGTCGACGGCCTCGGCCGGAGGCAACCGTGCAGTGCCGCGGCCCAGAGCTGTCTCGAAGCCGCCGGGCGACGCGTGTGACCCCGGCCGTCCGAGCTGGCCGCCACGGCGACGGGAACCAGATCCCTGGGAGGGCCCCGCCCTCTCGGCCGGGGAAGACAACACCTGGCACGCCCGATCTCCCGTAGATATGATGGGTACGAGCCCATGACGGACTGTGGCTGACGTGGGGGGTCCTGTAGAGTAGAGAGGAAGGCCTCGTACTGGCACGGACGCCGGGTGAATGTGCTGCGGCTGTTGCACCCAGCTGGCTGCCGCCCGGGGGGCCCGGGCGGCACCGAGGCCGTGCGTACGGCAGGGGCCAGGGCCACACGTGCCCCATCATCGCCGCCGTCTATTTTGAGCCTTATAATTCTCCAGCGAAAGAGCTCCATGATCTGATCCAAAAAGAAAAAATGGGGTACATACACACGTGCTACTTCTACTCTCAAGCTGTGTGTTCAATGCAGTATACTGTTTTATTCTTTTCTCGCGCATGTTAGTATCTCTGGATCCTCAATTTGATCAACAAAAAACGATTTACACATCACAAAAAGCATGCATTTACAAACTTGTTTTGAATATTGATTACCTTTATTCGCAAAAAGAAAGAATATTGATTACCTTTTATGTCATATAACTCATATTTTATTGGTCAAATTGACGATTTAGGAGTAAGTGCATGCATTGTAAACTAGAGTACTGGGAGTACAAGGTGCTACAGCTTTGCATTACAGTGCACATTATTTGCCTATTCCTTTTTTTCAGGGAACTACATTTGGCTATTTTTATTCACCAATGAAACTTCATAAATCTTGCAACAGGGGATATTTTGCTCCGGAACTCTTGAGGGGCCAAATCACGTGATGTTTTATACTCCAACTTAGCAAATATCTCTGCTTTATTTCACCAATATGAATGGTGCGACAAGGTGTGGTGCGCTCAACCGGTTTGCTCAGAAAAGCAAAAAACCAGACACCAAGCCAGAGGAAAAAAATCACCTACCCGGCACTAAATCAGGAAAAAAAACTATGGGGTTAAATATAGCAAGGTTTTGGCTAAATGGGGGTATAGATTGAGAATTTTACCAAAATGGGGTAAAATATGTCACAAAGCTCAAACTTGGGGTAAAAAAAAGGAAATAGCAGCTCTTTTATAAAACAAGCTGTCAAGGAATTTTGATCCGATCAGTCCAAAATACTTTTAGGAACCGCTCACGATTGAAGTTTCATAAAATTATCTCTTAATCTCATACTTGTGAACTAATCAATACCAAAACCAAGTACATGCTAATTACATCTTCATTGTATGCTTATGATCCATGTCCATATCATACGCTTAGTGCTCAATCTATCTTCCTTTCGGGTGGTTTATGAGAGAGACACTTTTAGTGAGGCTAAAGTTTATGTACATATGATTAGCGAGGTGAAATTTTATTTGCATGTGATACTTTACATATGTTGGTGCATTTCTCATTTTCTATGTCACTGCACGTGTACACTTACTTGAAAAATACATTCTTAAGATGCTTGAGACTACCTTTTCGCATTTTACTTTACATAACTTATATCCGTTGTTCCCAAACTACTTTTATCTAGACGACTTTTTTTTTGCGAAATTTTATCTAGACGACTTGGAGGCCTAGTTCTAGACGAAATTTTATCTAGACGACTTGGAGACCTAGTTCTAGACGAAATTTTATCTAGACGACTTGGAGGCCTAGTTTGTGGTGATTGAACTATGTTGTGATGCGCTTATTGTATGAACTATTGTAGAAAATTAGCCATAAATTCTTTTCAAGCAAACAAACATTAAAATAGGAAAAATCAAGTTAGAAAAACAAGATTATCGTAATCCACCAGAATATCAAACACAATCGAATTGTCACAGTACATGCCATGCAAAATAGAAACTCTCCTGCTATGCCTTAATAAGAAAACCTTGTGTGAATGTGTGTGTATAAATACAAGATCGAAACAAACACCATCGACAATAAATTACATGCGAAATTTCTACTCCCGACACATGCCTAATCACCGTAGTGCATATCATTTGCATGTTAGAACCTATTACATCCCTTTAAATCCAACAAGTCCTAAAGTGACGAGTCAAATGTTAGCTGCCAACGATGTGCGTGCGTGTCTGATGCCAACATTTTGATAGTGGTAGTTCTCTGATTAGTCATGTTTGCCATAAAAAAAAGTGTGAGCTCTTTCTTCTTCAAAAAAATAAATAAAGTGTGAGTTCCCTCTTAAAGCTTACCCATGGCTTGGGCAACACTAGCTCTGCAAAGCATCAGTGGAAGCAACCTGTTTTTCTTTTGCCGGTGCTGAACTTGTAATGCAACTTGACTTTGGCTTTCACCATATATGAAGCTGTGGTTCCCTTGTTGCTCCAGAAAAATGCAGCAATGTAAGAAGAAAAGTTGTCCTCTTCACTTTGACATTTCACACCTAGAGCTGCCAGCCCAGCAGCCCAAGAGCCTCCAAATCGGCCTCTCGCTTTCCGGCCCCATCTATAAATACCGCGGCGAGGCCTTCCCACGCCCTCCACCATTCGAAAGATCCACCGAAGATTTTTCTCCTCACTCTCCTCGACCTCACAGCTCTCCGTCTCCCGATCTCCTCTGCCAGCAGCGCAGATTTACAGACACAAGCTAGCACACAGCAAGCTCAGAGCACCTCGCTGGTCTAAGTGATCCTTCTCAAGGATCATTTGGATGGCCTTCTTCCTCCTCCTCCTGTGCATCCTCATTTCTGTGGCCATCGTGTCCTACGCCCACCACGTAATCCGGCGGCAACGCCGGGGCCCGCAGGGCAGCGCTCGTGGCCGCCATGAGAAAGCCGCCCTCAAGCTGCCCCCTGGCTCCATGGGCCTGCCTTACATCGGCGAGACCCTCCAGCTCTACTCCCAGGACCCCAGCGTCTTCCTCTCCTCCAAGCAGAAGCGGTACGGCGAGATCTTCAAGACGCACCTCCTCGGCTGCCCGTGCGTGATGCTGGCGAGCCCGGAGGCGGCGCGCTTCGTGCTGGTGTCGCGGGCGCACCTCTTCAAGCCGACGTACCCGCGGAGCAAGGAGCGCCTCATCGGCCCCTCGGCGCTCTTCTTCCACCAGGGCGACTACCACCTCCGCCTCCGCAGGCTCGTCCAGGGCCCGCTCGGCCCCGAGGCCCTGCGCAAGCTCGTGCCGGACATCGAGGACGCCGTGCGGTCCACGCTCGCGGCCTGGGCGGACGGCGACGCCGCCAGCACTTTCCACGCCATGAAGAGGGTAAGCTATAGCTAGCTGCGCGCGTAGTTGTTGTCCGGGAGTGATGCCAGTGGCGTATGATATTAATCAGTGCATATTTTGTTTTCGTCAGCTCTCGTTCGACGTCGGCATCGTGACGATCTTCGGCGGGCGGCTGGACGAGCGGCGGAAGGAGGAGCTGAGGCGGAACTACGCCGTCGTGGAGAAAGGCTACAACTCCTTCCCCAACGGCTTCCCCGGGACGCTATACTACAAGGCGATCCAGGTAAGCAACCGACGAAAACCGTGCGCCTTCGTCACGTTCGTCGTGGTGTATACGTCTTTAACAGTATCAGCACAACAATACACATGAATGCCATGTAACGGAAAACCGCATGTAGGCGAGGCGGCGGCTGAACGGCGTGCTGAGCGACATCCTGCACGAGCGGAGGGAGCGTGGGGAGCCCGGCGACGACCTGCTCGGCTGCCTCATGCGGTCACGGGCAGGCGGCGGCGACGACGACGACGAGGAGGAGGGCGCGCTGCTGACGGACGAGCAGGTCGCCGACAACGTCATCGGCGTGCTGTTCGCGGCGCAGGACACGACGGCCAGCGTGCTCACCTGGATCGTCAAGTACCTCCACGACCGGCCGAAGCTGCTGGAGGCCGTCCGCGCGGAGCACGCGGCGATCCACGAGGCCAACGACGGCGGGAGGCGGCCGCTGACATGGGCGCAGACGAGGAGCATGACGCTGACGCACAGGGTGCGTGCCATACACTTCAAGGCTTACAGTCACATGTTTTTCTTGTGCCGTGCGGCTGCTGATCGATGTCGTCCGTCGTACGCGCGCGCAGGTGATTTTGGAGAGCCTGAGGATGGCGAGCATCATCTCCTTCACGTTCAGGGAGGCCGTGGCCGACGTGGAGTACAAAGGTACGTACGTACGCGACGCCTGGGCCATCACGTGCACAGCAGCTAGCTAAGCTAGGGTGGACGTGGCGCTACGTAGACGTGGCGTTACCGTGCATGGGATTTAATTCCGGACGGTGCGACGATGATGAGGACGATGGGACCTGACGTAAAATTTTGCCTGGCGTGCAGGGTTTCTTATCCCCAAGGGGTGGAAGGTGATGCCGCTATTCAGGAACATCCATCACAGCCCGGACTACTTCCAGGATCCACAGAAGTTCGACCCTTCGAGATTCAAGGTACGTACGCGTCCCCCTCGCCGGAGTGCAACCTCGATGTGGATGCGTCCGGCCGAACTGAAAATCGTGACCTTCAAAAAAGGAGCAACCGAAAAATTGTTCCTTTCGATGCATTAAATCGTGTCCTTCATCGGTCAATACACTCCATTCATGAGTACGGCAGCAAATAGCCTGGTGAACACGGTGTTAAATACCACTTGAACACGGTTAAATCTTGACGATACATGCCCTATCTAGAATACTTGAATCCGCCTTTGTTTCCCAGATTAGTAAAACCAACTTTTTTACGGGGCCTCATTTTCTTGTGGTGGTAAAACCTGCAGGTGGCGCCGCGGCCGAGCACCTTCACGCCGTTCGGGAGCGGGGTGCACGCGTGCCCCGGGAACGAGCTGGCCAAGCTCGAGATGCTGGTGCTCATCCACCACCTCGTCACCGGCTACAGGTGCGTGCCCCCCTCTCCACACAGATCCTCGATATATCGCCGTTTGTCCGTGCGGACAGGAACGTCCCATGGCTGGCTGGTGCAGTGGCGCCAATTCACCGGGCCACCCTTCGCCTGGCGCCCAGTTCCACGGCACGCATACTCCAACCATGCACCGATCGTGTCATGTCATGCCATGAAAGCCCGGGTGGTCCATGGCTGCCCGCCCTGCCTTGCACGTAGAGGCGCCTGCCTATGAGCTGTGCTGCCACTGATCACTCGCTGCCATGGCGACAGCTGTGGAGTTGTACGTGTGCTAGATTTAGGTAGGAATGGGGGTGATGATTGATGCGTGTTGGTGCTTGGTTTTTGCAGGTGGGAGGTTGTTGGATCGAGCGACGACGTCGAGTACAGCCCATTCCCTGTTCCCCGCCATGGCCTACTCGCCAGGTTACGGCGGGATGACAGCGTCTGCGTGGGTAGGAAGGGGTGCCCGACTGATGACGACTACGACGACGAAGACGAAGTGATAGTGTGATTAGTCAACGTAGATAGCTAGAGGGCTCTTTTCTCCCTTTTTGTTGTTGTTGCTATTGTTGTGGCATTCTTCTCTATGAAAATCATTAGAGAAGAAACAACAGCATGTTACTACTTTTTAGGAGGACGATGATCATGTACCATAGTGCTTATGTTGTCAATGATGTATTGTCATTGATACGCACATAAAATGACGCTTCCTTTTTTTCGAAATATTGCACTCCAGACCCCCTACCACCACACTCGAAAG